GAAAATTAAGCCTTTTGTTTGGCACCTTTGCTGTGTTGTGTTACTTCCGTTGTAATTGAATGTTTTCTCTTAATGCTCACTCATACATACATGATATTGCTTTTTAAAGAATAGTTATGGCTTTTTCTCATATTCTAAATCAGGGGGGTTGATGGGTGAATAAGAGACGCTTATAGGTGGCTAGAGTCCAGAGTGTAATGCACCATATTTGGAGTTAAGAATATAGCATTGTGTGGAATATTGCTGTGGGTGCACAATTTTAATGCAGAGAGGTGTGAAGGGTTAATACAGCAGGTGTGGAGTTTATAAATATAGGTTTGCATAATATTCTGAATTCAATCAAAGATTTGGTGTCCCAATCTGATTTACAAAACATGCTACAAAACATTAATCAATTTTGCACATTACTGCAACTAACAAACTATTTAAAATAGCTTAATTTATTGTTTTCTAGGATTTCAATTCATTTTTGAATGTTATAGGACATGTATTGCAATGAGTGAAATATGGTTTGTGGAACACAATCAATTGCTATGACTGGGCTGTCTCACTGGTTAGGCTAGACAATGAAAGGAAGTTGGCTAGTTATGCACAGTTGCAACCAGGAATCAGCTGTTTCACTAACAATAAAAATGGTGGAAACAGTGAGATTCCAGAAACAGCATGGTAACTGTGTAATAGTAGCAATTACAGCATGTAGAGATACATATAGAACACTATGCAATGGCTGCCTGTGCCAGATAATTGGGGCTTGCTTTCCTGGTCATATTCTATTGATGTGGATCTCTATCCTTCTGTCATGTATCACTTCTGAGACATTCTGAAATAGTGCATAATCACCGATCTCAGAATGTTATTCTTCTTTTTACGTAATAGGAGTAGGTGATGTGTAGAGCTCCACTGTATAAGAAATGAGGAAGGGAGGCCCTACCTTTAATCAATCTAAGGAGAAAAAGGGATATGCAAACAAAAAGTATAACTTGAAAAAAAGGGAGATCTACTAAATGGTGCCCAGGGGATCAAATGTCTGGAGTACTAGCTAGCATCTAAGTTCCAGTTCCCCTAGTGTCCGACTGACAGGAAGGTAGTGTAAACGAGGTTAGGGAGAGAGAAGAGGCACAGGGTACCCTTCCTCATTGCTTATACAGTGGAGCTCTCCTGATGTTGGTTTCCCCTTGTGGGACTCTACACATCACCTACTCCTATTACCTACATATTTTGGAGGGTTACCCCCTCATTGGAGCTCCCTATTAGGTGGTTACAGTGGTGCAGCTCATGAGCCCTTGACTTGTATCCAGACTCCTGACCTGCACTCTGTTTACTTTATTTCTCCATTTTGTGTTTTATTCTTCTTTTTACCAACAATGTACGCTGTACAACATTGGTCATTAAGTGCATAATGATAACAAATGTACACTATACAACTTCTGTCATTTAATAGTTAAAGTTACTTTGAAGGCCTATTTAGCAACCAGTTTTCTGCAACATTTTATTTGAATCTTGACAATTTACATTTTGCATAGTGAAGATAGTTGGTTAAAGTGGTACTGTTTTTTTGAATGGTGTTTAAGGTAAGTTGACATTTTAACAATGACCTGTGTCTAACAAGACAAAGATATTAGTGTGCTTAATATTCTATTAGTGTAGGTTTCAGTTTGATCATATCTAGATTTGTCAAATCTAAGGTTTGCCAAGCACACTCATGGCTTAAGGGCCTACATTGCTTTAATTAGCTTGAGTTCTAAAGATTTGTGAGGCTCATTTCTCTTACGCTTTATTCTTAAAATGCTGATTGATTTCACAGCACATATCCTAGTAGCAATTTAATGACTTAATAACCTGTGCCTTTCTGTAGAAAAGAAGAGCGGTGTATTTTAAAGGGCATAGACCTGTGGCTGTATAAATATGGCTGTATTGTTTTATTTTGAAATTTCGGCCTTAACACTGAGTACAAAGCATATATTTTCCCAATGTTAGGACTGTTGCTGGAGCTTACTTTTTTTTTAAATCAATATTAAAAAGTCTTCTCTCCATTGTTACAGTATTCAAAATTTAAATGTATTTTTTTCTGGCATTGTCATATTTATGCTGTCATGAATAAAACTGTTTTAAGTATGCTTTTGGAATTGCTGCTGTAATATTACATTGTGCTATTTTTACTTAAAAAAACTACCTATAAAGTTAAACCAGTTTGAGACATGACAGCAAAAAAAATAAATATTGGTAATATATTGCATTAATTGTATTTCACTACAGTTTTCACTTGTGGCAACCTTAGCTCTAACACACTTTAAGGGACTTTTCAGAAGTCAGCAGACTTGTTGGGTGAAAATATTCTATTCTTCTAAACCACTTTGGAAAACAAAAAAATATTGTTTGAGGTCACCATAAATAAATGCTGCTGTTCAGCTTGCCCAAATTTAAGTACCAAAAATAAATTCGGAAAGGCCAGTCGGATGGCCAAAACAGCTGGAAAAATGATTGCTAAAATGGCTACAATATTGCTTGGCCTAATAGCAATGTAATTCAGCCATTTTTTCAATGCCAATTCTTAGTTTCCAAAATTAGATTATTATATATCTGGATTAAAAATAAAAATAGAGAGAAAACTTCTAGTTTTATAATTATTAATTGTAATATTTTATTCTTGTGCACTCTTATATTAATAAAAAATGGAAAGGATAAGTCATTTCAACTTCAAAAAATTTAAAAACGTAAGGAACAAGTGAAAGGAAAATTGACCAAATTGCAGAAATTGTCCTTTCCCCAATATCTAAAGTAGAATTCCAGTGTGTACTTGCAAATGCCTCAAGAATTGGCTTCTGTTGGGTTGCTGCTTCAAAGAATTGCTACTACTGTAATGTTAATTGTGCTTTACTACACTGCACACAACACATAGTACAATGCAATATACAATGCTTAAAAACTTGCACAGCACAAAGCTAAAGGGACACTATAGTCACCAAAACAACTACAGCTTAATGTTTGCCTCCAGGCATTTCCATGCAAACACTGTCTTTTCAGAGAAAAGGCAGTGTTTACATCCACCATAGGGACACCTCCAAGTGGCCACTCCTCAGATGGCCACTGGAGATGATTCCTAGGGCAGTGCTGCACAGTAAGCAGCAATGCTGTTCAGCGTCCCCACACTCTGCACTGGGATGCTGAATTTTTCCTCAAAGAAATGCAATGATTCAATGCATTTCTATGAGGAGGTGCTGATTGGCCAAAACAGTGTTTGGCCCCGGCCCTATCCCACCTCCTTGCCAATTTTAACCAATCCAATTCTTTCCCATGGGGAAATCATTGGCTAAAAATCAGCAATTCTGATGATGTCACCAAGGAGGCGGATCAGGGGCAAGCCAGTGCCAGCGGACCCTCCCAGTGCTGGAAATAAGGTGAGTTTTAATTCCTTTTAAAAGGACTGGGGGGGGGCAAGCCACCTAAATGATGGGTTTAACGCTATAGTGTCTGGAATACGTGTTTTTGTTCCTAACCCTATAGTGTTCCTTTAAAGAAAAAATACTTTGCAAACTATTTCTTTATCTTCAGTGATAAAGTACCTTGCCTGCAACCCTACTACTGCCATACTCAGTGTAGGCGGGATTCACTTGTGTATTAAAATACACCCACACACTGTGGGAATATGTTACTGAGGGAAGAATCTTGCAGTTTGCAAAGAAGCACACTGCAAAGCCAATAAACTGTCTTTTACTGAAAGTACCAAAGTCACAAATCAGTAATAACAATTCTAACTTAGAGAATCAAAGTCGATACAAGTGGCACTGGCAGTAGCAGCAAAGCAAGAGGAACTTTTTTATTTTTTACATGAAGACTGATGATAACAGTGGTGGCAGAGGTGGCATCAGTCCTCGTGGGTGAGGTATTGACACTCTTTTAGAATGCTTTGGCAACTGCAACTGCAATCTTCAAAAACACATCAACATGTAGGTATTATAATAACTATCGAGGCAGATTTTTAAAATATTTTCATGTCATATCAACTGACTAATATCTAAAAGGAGGTTTAGGTATTTTTATTTTTTATTTTTACATATTGGGAGTGAATAGTGGAAGAGGCGATTAGTGGATAAGGTCTTAGAAACTCAGAGTTATTTGGGAACGTTGACTCACTACTTGAGTCCAACCTGGGTAATTCCTTCTTTCTATCTTGGGTGAAGCACTGGAAAAGTTAATTAGGGCATCAAGAATTGGGCAACCATTAGCACTGTGGGTATAAACATCAGGGGACTGATCATCTTTCTAGTCTTTTGATCAATGGAACAAAGGACCTTTGGCTTTGCCGATACATGCTATTATTCATTACACACAACTAATATTATTCTATAAGTAATTTAATGTTTAAAATTAGTTAATAATAAGGAATATTTTACACTTATATGCTCAATTTATTAATTAACTACATTAGCAAGAAGCTAAACCTTGATACAGGAATACAACAAAACAGTGAAATAGAGCTCTTACAACTAGTGACACAAAGAAACAATACTGGCACTTATCTGTTCTTTCAAATATAAATAGCAGTCCCTTGAAAAAACAAACATTAAAATATATAGTACACCTCATAGGCAATTGTAAAATGAATTCCAACAATGGAACACTCACATATTTTAGAGCTTATGAGTAGCCTCAAACTTAATTCTCCTTTTGGTCTATTCAGACAGCCATTCCCTTTAATAAAGATTGTATCTATCTTTAAAGTGAATCTTCCCAGTACGGTTATCCCAAATATAAGCACAAAATAACTTCCATAGCATTGTACTGGATATACTAATAATATATTGTAATGTACGAATGTCTCCAAAAGGAAGAGCTCCGAAAGTTGATTCTAGAGGTTATATAACTTTGTTTAGATAAGGTCTACACCACTTTTCACTTAGGCTCAATCCTGCACTTCACTGAATGGAACAACCAGGCCAAATGGCAAAAACTCAATTTATTCGGAAATAAAAAATGAAATACATTGAGTCAGGAATGGTTAAAAGAAAAACAAGCGGGGGCGGGGCCTGCACGCTGAGCCGGATGGACGTGGAGCGCCTCGGCTCCACGATGAAAGCCCATTAATCAGCCCAAAACTACTATATCTCCCCCTAAAAAACAACCGGCAACTATGAGAAGGCACTGGGGACCTGAGCCGCAACACTTGGGGCAGCTGTCGGCCCATACCCTACCGGCAAGGCTGACTGCTGGGCGGATGGTATTGTGGCCCGTCGTGAGGCTCTGGCGGGAGAAACGGCCGATCTCCCGCGCTTAGTCCGGCGGGTCCTCCCGCACGCCGGCAAAGGGCCTCGTTCTCCCCCCCCTGTGGGCCGGGGGGGTTATCCCGGACCCCACCGGGAAGGCGGAGATCCCTTTGGGCAAACAGTGAGGTGAACAGACCACTCAGTGACCGCGTGCAACAACCCAAGATGGCCGCCGCACCCAGTATAAGCCGAAGCATGGAGGCAGCGACAGTCAAGCAACGGCTGAGTACTGTCTGGAAACGGAGGCTGACCTGAAAGTTATGCATCGACAGCGGCTAGTGGAGAACCCTCTCCGCCCATCAGACAACCCTGAAGGGTGCACATTCGTTAAGTAACCATGGCTAACAATCGTTTTACCTGAGGCAACATTTCCTTTGCGGCGGATGGATCTGTGGGGACCATACTGAGACTCTGACCCTGCATTAACATGGAGGAATAAAGGACACTGGACACAAGACTCATTTCCTAGCTGTGACTGATACTCATATATTACTAGGATCCCAACAGAGCACTAGATACCTAATTATGTTAACATGCCACTCTGTGTCATTCTCTGTATTATTATGAGTCTATTAAGATTGATCTGGTTCCTGCAGATCCACACAGCACAAATTTGGAAATCAGTTAATAATGAATGGGCACACATGTATATGTTAGCCGACTGACCCAGCAACTCACTGCCCCCTGGTGGTTAACTTTAATTAACTAGAGAAACCTGTATCTGATGTTATTTTGCATAAGCCTATAACTAAATAGTTATACAACCACTGTTTAATTAGTGCATAGAATAGCTATAAAAGTCTTACTTAACAGCACTATGCTTGTTATATTGTTTTATTCTGCATGATCTATAATTTAAAAATGTGCAACGCATGCGACTGCCATAACCCTGTACATCTTGTTATCTCTCTGTTTGCTGCAGCTGTTGTGGCGCACCAAGCAATGTTACCTCTTTGCACGCAATAAATAAAGAATTAAAAAAAAAAAAGAAAAACAAGCTTAGAGACCCTGAACTGTATGCAATTGTATTGCGATCAACCTAAAAAAAAAAATTGTATTGCGATCAGTTTAGGATTTTGTGTTTACAGTTTTTTTAATCCTCTTTTCTTCCAGAAATGCTATTGAGTTTGATATTTTTTTTGATATTTTTTTGTAAAGCAATACACTTTTTAAATATAACCCATAAATCTTTGTTAATAATCACCATTGGGCCAGCAATGTTTTTAAATCCTACAGAGAAGTCTTCTGTTTGCTGTGAGGGCTGTATTCTGTTCTCTCCACATTAATTCTGTAATATTTGCCCCCTCTTATCCACACATTGTACAGCAAACCATGTAGATCAACCTTCATGGATGCATGCTAGCAACCATAAAAGGAAGGTTGGAAGTTTCTGAGCATTCACTAGAATGATTCACCTGTCATACACTTTATTATATAATGCTTACTGTAACTGTATTTATTGCATGCAAGCAATATTTGCATTTTCCTTGCATTTCTTTAAAAAGCTGCATATCTAAAAAAAAATGCCATAAGGTTCTTAACGATCAATAAGTAAGATATTGACCATTTTTTATCTATATTTGCTTGGCTTACTGTCTGCGATAAATATATAAATATCTACATAGATAATAATTTCTAAATTTACGTGTTTGTATTATTTAGGTGAACTGCTTTCTACATGCAAAATTGCTGTTTCCTATGTTTATATACTGACTACACCATACCATGTTTCACTTAAATGTTAAGATATTTTATTAATATCGAAAAAAAATCTAATGTAGCTACAGTAAGTGTTTGCATATACAATTTAACCAGTGTATACAACATCTGAATGATAAGAGGAACAAATATATTAAAGATTAATATATTTCAGTTTTTTGACCCAACAAAACTCTACATTTTCTTGAGTACTATATTTACATTTCATTATCACAACTACTTTAACTGAATTTTCGGAAACTTTTTCTGTAAACGTTTATGGGACTCAGAGGGAGCAGAGGAGTTGAAAAAGATCAGTGGATCAGTATGAATATTTTTTTTTAACAACTCTTCATCTCAGTAAAGAATGCTAAATATAGAGATTGGATGAAAGGAATTAAAAACCTAAATGGTTAAAACAAGCAAATAGCTTTGCATGCAATAAAAGAGTGTCAATATGTCACAGAAATATTGAGAGTGCTGGGGCAATCAGCCAGATGCTATTGCTAGGAGGGATTGTAGACCATGCAATTATAAATAATGAGAACCCAGTGTCTGACACAGACTGGTGATTCTGTTTGATTTTATAGGTAAAAAGTCTGTATTATGATACCTTTTCAAAGCTTAGAAAGATGCTATACATAAGCTTCCTAGTACCACAATTAACAATCTACCTTGTGAAAATGAATTGGTCAACTGAACTGGAAAATAAAGATGTCAACAGCAAATTGAAAACAATTCAAATGATGCTTTGAGAGTTAGCACTTGGGTGCTTCATATCAAAAAATACAAAACAATATGCACATAAATGTTCAATCAGTTAAATAAACCCAATGATTTATAATATGTAAACTGTATTTTGTTTATAATCACTTTAAACAGAGGTACACTGAGAGCATTCACAAATAATTAGCAGATTTGGCATTTCAGATATGGTATTGCAATTACAAACAGTCAGAAAAATGCAGCAACTATGTAACTGATTTGAAAGCATATGGTTTCAGTCAGAGCTTATATAGCTCTCAGGAAGTTATACAACCTGCATTATTTATTTAGCTCAGCTCTCATTCATTATAAATGAAAGCAAATCAAACACATATTGTGTCATTGTACTGTTTAATCACTGTTTTTTCAATCACTGCAGAAGTCTAAAGAATATATTATTTGGACAAGTTTAAGAAAAATATTTGTCTACTCCATTGAAAAATTTAAAACAACTCTTTAAAACAAATAAAATGATGCTTAACCCCTTAAGGACACGTGTGACATGTCATGTTTCCCTTTTATTCCAGAAGTTTGGTCCTTAAGGGGTTAAAGCAGCACTGTCGTGCTAAACTTACCTTTTCCTATGGTTTCCTCTTCTCTTCCTCTCTCAGAATTAGTTTTTTTCTTTATTTATTTATTTTCTTTAAAACATAAGACAAAGTAGGGACTACTTTGTTGTATGCATTTTTCCAACGCTTGACCTACTTTGACCAAAGGAGGAGTATTAGTCCATTAGTGGAGCTGAGTTAACCTCCTCCTTTGGTCAAAGAAGGTCAAGTGTAGGAAAAACACATAAGACAAAAGTAATCCCTACTTTGTCTCATTGTAACGGACCGCCTGACACAACAATCGAGAACCTCCTTCAAATCGCTGCTTCCTAGTAATCCTGAAGTACCATAAGCACTGCACTGGACAACATAACCACCGTAAACCCCACAAACCACCACAGCTTGGTTGGTGTCTCGCTGTCCTCCACCCACCCTAGACCAAAGACCAGGATCCAGATTCCAGTGGGTAGAATTCTTCTAGTCCAGAGAGCAAAGCAGGCAGCTCAAGAGCAATCGTTGTAAGCCAAGGGAGTATATTGATTATAGCAATCCCCAGAGTGAATATAGCTCTCCAATCTCCCAAACATGAGCCTAGACTTCATGAAGGGTAAAATGAATCTCTTTAATGGCATCCTCAACCGGCCTTATATGCAGGTTCCCATGCAAGTGTCACTCCTCCCTGGACCTGAGAGTAGACTACAGTAAAAACATACACACAATTACATTGGCTCTCAGTTCCAGGACACTCCCATACAAAATAAGTTAATCCCTCCTCTGTGTCTGGGAGATAATTGAGTCAGCACTGTATTAAACTTAATTATGACTAGAATAGTCTTCAAGGCTAATAGCATACGTTCTGCATTTTACACTACATATTCCATGATACTTTGATCTCTATCACCAGATTCACCTCTCCAGCAAGCTTTACTGGGAGTTGTAGTTCTTGTCTTAGCTTGGGTAATGCAGCGAGAGGTAACAGAATCTACAGGGAGTGCAGAATTATTAGGCAAATGAGTATTTTGACCACATCATCCTCTTTATGCATGTTGTCTTACTCCAAACTGTATAGGCTCGAAAGCCTACTACCAATTAAGCATATTAGGTGATGTGCATCTCTGTAATGAGAAGGAGTGTGGTCTAATGACATCACCACCCTATATCAGGTGTGCATAATTATTAGGCAACTTCCTTTCCTTTGGCAAAATGGGTCAAAAGAAGGACTTGACAGGCTCAGAAAAGTCAAAATAGTGAGATATCTTGCAGAGGGATGCAGCACTCTTAAAATTGCAAAGCTTCTGAAGCGTGATCATCGAACAATCAAGCGTTTCATTCAAAATAGTCAACAGGGTCGCAAGAAGCGTGTGGAAAAACCAAGGCGCCAAATAACTGCCCATGAACTGAGAAAAGTCAAGCGTGCAGCTGCCACGATGCCACTTGCCACCAGTTTGGCCATATTTCAGAGCTGCAACATCACTGGAGTGCCCAAAATCACAAGGTGTGCAATACTCAGAGACATAGCCAAGGTAAGAAAGGCTGAAAGACGACCACCACTGAACAAGACACACAAGCTGAAACGTCAAGACTGGGCCAAGAAATATCTCAAGACTGATTTTTCTAAGGTTTTATGGACTGATGAAATGAGAGTGAGCCTTGATGGGCCAGATGGATGGGCCCGTGGCTGGATTGGTAAAGGGCAGAGAGCTCCAGTCCGACTCAGGCGCCAGCAAGGTGGAGGTGGAGTACTGGTTTGGGCTGGTATCATCAAAGATGAGCTTGTGGGGCCTTTTCGGGTTGAGGATGGAGTCAAGCTCAACTCCCAGTCCTACTGCCAGTTCCTGGAAGACACCTTCTTCAAGCAGTGGTACAGGAAGAAGTCTACATCCTTCAAGAAAAACATGATTTTCATGCAGGACAATGCTCCATCACACGCGTCCAAGTACTCCACAGCGTGGCTGGCAAGAAAGGGTATAAAAGAAGAAAATCTAATGACATGGCCTCCTTGTTCACCTGATCTGAACCCCATTGAGAACCTGTGGTCCATCATCAAATGTGAGATTTACAGGGAGGGAAAACAGTACACCTCTCTGAACAGTGTCTGGGAGGCTGTGGTTGCTGCTGCACGCAATGTTGATGGTGAACAGATCAAAACACTGACAGAATCCATGGATGGCAGGCTTTTGAGTGTCCTTGCAAAGAAAGGTGGCTATATTGGTCACTGATTTGTTTTTGTTTTGTTTTTGAATGTCAGAAATGTATATTTGTGAATGTTGAGATGTTATATTGGTTTCACTGGTAATAATAAATAATTGAAATGGGTATATATTTGTTTTTTGTTAAGTTGCCTAATAATTATGCACAGTAATAGTCACCTGCACACACAGATATCCCCCTAACATAGCTATAACTAAAAACAAACTAAAAACTACTTCCAAAAATATTCAGCTTTGATATTAATGAGTTTTTTGGGTTCATTGAGAACATGGTTGTTGTTCAATAATAGTGATGTAC